TCGCGACGGGCCTTCTGGCTTCGGGATCGACAATAGTGGTGCTGTCCAAGTTCGACATGGGCGATATGCTGTCGGCGATCCAGAAGTACCGGCGACGTACCTGCCGCTGGTGCCGCCTATACTGGTGGCGATGATGAACGGTGCGGATGCGATCAAGGCGAAGTACGATTTGAGATCACTACATTCGGTTCTGTCGGGTGGGGCTCCTCTGAGTAAGGAGGTGATAGAGGGCTTTGTGGACAAGTTCCCGAATGTCACAATTCTCCAGGGTTACGGGTTGACCGAATCCACGGGAGTCGGGGCATCCACGGACTCACTGGAGGAGAGTCGGAGGTACGGCACGGCCGGGCTGTTGTCACCCGGCACCGAGGCCAAAGTGGTCGACCCTGTAACTGGAGAGGCTGTGCGCCTAATCGGACCGGTGAACTCTGGCTCAGAGGTCCCACTATCATGAAAGGTGTGTCATTATTTTTTATTATTATTATAAATTTTAAATTTCGTCCGTGTCTCAATGGTAGATGATTAAAACTTAGAAGTTATATGTGACACTGCAAGAAGAGCCCCAAAATAAAAACGTTGACATAATTCTTATTTCATTATCTTTGGCTCACAAGATGGGATAACTATATCATTTAATCGTTCATCCTTTTTTTTTTGGGGGGGGGGGGGCGTCTTTAAACAGACTTGGATCTCTAGTCGTGATTCTGTAACATGCTATTTTTTTATAGGCAAATATCAAATATGTGATTTAGTTGGCTGACGACAAGCGAGATCAGAATTAGGGGATCGATGTTAAATTAGCGTTTGATTAACAGTGAGGGCATGGTCATGGCAGGTTATTTCAGTAACGAGGAAGCAACCAGCTCGACCCTTGATTCAGAGGGATGGTTGAGGACTGGAGATATTTGCTACATTGATGGCGATGGATATATTTTCATCGTTGATAGGTTGAAAGAGCTTATTAAATACAAGGGATATCAGGTACCAGGCAAAACTCAGAATTTTATGATTATATAACAAGGGAGGTGGAAAGTAAAATCTTACAAGAGTTAAAACGTAAATTTCACTCTAATGAACTAATTGGTTCGCCTCACTTCCGGCCTGATCTGAATAGATATAATCATATAGAATTGTACATGGTCTCTTAATGTTGTTTCAATTGTTTTTGTGGTAGGTGCCACCAGCGGAACTAGAGGCCTTGTTGCTTACTCATCATGCAATTTCAGATGCTGCTGTCATACCGTAAGCCTATCTCCTTATCCAACTCAACAGCTTACTGCTGTTTTTTCATATAAAGAAATTCGAAGGGCAAATAATGTGGGCATGCTGTACTTTTTCAGATTCCCGGATAAGGAGGTCGGGCAGTATCCCATGGCATACGTAGTGAGGAAAAGAGGAGGTGATGTGTCTGAAAAGGAAATCATGGATTTTGTGGCAGCACAGGTGAGCCTCCCTGCTTGATGGGCATATTCAGTGTCCTTGCAAATGGATAATGATTCTATTGAGCATGTGGATGAAACAGGTTGCTCCATATAAGAGAATTCGAAGAGTGGCATTTATTTCTTCAATACCCAAGAACCCATCTGGCAAGATCCTCAGGAAGGATCTCATCAAGCTCGCTACATCTAAACTTTGAATTCAACACTCGGGAGTTTTCCATGTTGATCATATATGGTCATTCTCTAGCTGCCTCCCAGTCTTTCGATGTTTATTATGTATAATTCTCTTGCCTTTTTATTTTTATTTTTTCGGTTTGATAATGGCCATCGTTTTTATCTTTATTTTATGCTGTCAGAAGTTGGCCCCGTCTTCCCCCCCCCCTTTCAAAAAACAAACTCAATGATATCCTCCCAGCTCAGTCTTGCATCTGTAAAGGACAGAAAGTGGTGCCACGTGTGGTTTTATCACCTCTTGTAAAGTGGAATGTTGGCTCTTAATTAATTAATTAATTAATTAATTTCTTTTTTATGTTGTTTATTTTGAAAAAATTCTCTTCACCTGTTTTTTCAAAAAAAAAATTCCAACAATATTGATTACTGTTTTGTCAATTGTATTCATATCTATACTAGTTTTTAAAGGTCTAAAATGGCATTAGTCACATAAAAAAATTAGAGCATATGAACAAAATTTCTTTTTTTAAAAAAGCAAGATATTTATTATATTTGTTTCACGTGTTAAAATTTTGAGATATGTGAATCTTAGAAGGCCTTAAAAAGAAAGGAGAGGAAATAGGGGAGAGTGGTGGGGACGATCTGGTATAGTGCTTGGTTCACATTCTCATTATTTATCACCAGATTGGCGTGTTGTTTTCTATTTTCGGCCAACAACTATCGTGCTGTGTTATACCGTCACAAGTTCATAACATATTAATACAATTTTTAATCTTTTAAACTTGTTTCAAATTTTAGATTATAGGTTTTGGTTCTCTAAGGGGTAAAATAGTCTGAGTTTTGCTTGAATTATAAGGATTAATATTTTAAATAAAAAATAATTTGAGAAACAAAAATGAAAATAAAGACAAAATTAAAAAACCAAAAAATTGCATTAACCCAATCAATGTTTCATATATCATTCCATCTTATCTCTTGACAATGCGCAGGCAAGAAAAATATTGACGAGGCATCCCGATTATTTCTTCTAATTTTTTAACACATCCACCAAACGGGAGGAGGGGCATTGTCCTGGTTACTTTTTCACTTCCAAAAAATTAAATTTAAAATAAAAAAATGTTTGCCCCTTTAAAAATACATCTCCTTGAAAAAGTAACGTTAGGAAAATTCTGAATACTTAATAATTATACATTATTCTTATATGATATTCATTTATCAAGTCAACTTAAATTTATAATAAAATTATAGTATTAAAATAATAGAAATTTTTCATGATAGTCATAACATCGATGTATTGCATGAGATGTATAGAAAAAGCCCTTTAAAAAATTATTCACACACACACACACACTCTCTCTCTCTCTCTCTCTCTCTCACACACACACACACACACACACACACACACAGGGCAGGCAATACGTCGCCCGGTGCCCAAAATATAGACAAAGGGCAACCATTACTTCTTTGCAACTTCTTCTCTTTCGGCCCGGTTGAGCCTAGGCTATTGGGCCGCCTGTTAATCTGTCACTACTTGACTACCCCTAACCTCAATCTTCACTTTTTTTTTGAATAAAACTTAATGGTTACTCCGACTTTAACTTTAAAGAAAAAAAGAGCATAATTGATTGTGTAATCTATCAACCCCATTACGGCAAACGCCCAGACCTTTACCTCGATGCGCATTTTTGCGGAGCTAAACCTTACAATTATCGATTATTATTTTATCTAGGGAAAGCGGATTGGTTTTTTAAGGCTAAGATGAAGAATTAGTTAAAAGTAATTCATAGATTGTTCTGAATTATTGGTCGAAGGTTATGTTCAAATCAAATTGAGAAACAGGGCCATCCAATCTTTAGCAAAAGATAAGGAAAAGAGGGTGATGACAGGAAAGATTTGTGAAGATAAATAAAAGTTGTGCAGAAAAGAAGAATTCAAAGCAACTTTGACAAAAGAAGGTGGCATTCCAAGCATGCCCATATACAAAGAATCCATTGTTTAATGGAATCAGAGGGAGAATTATTGGCAGTATGCATGGCCTGATGGTTTTGTGCTGTGTCTACACCCACAACCACAAGCCCTAAAGATACATGTTTTTGTGCGGCTTTCTCGAGTCTTCGTTCTGGGTCAACCCAGAAAGGGCAAAAAATTTAAGTTGGGGCTGGAACCAAAATCAGGCATTCGAAGTTTAGGGAAAAGGTGTGGGAAAAAGATGGAGCGAGAGAAACAAGAAGGAAAAAGCGAAGCTGGAGAGGCTTTGAAGAAAAGTAGCAACGGAGATCATCGTCGTGCCACCATCTTCCCAATAAACAAATTGATATCTGCTTGTGTGTGTGTATTTTACTAATACATCTCCATAGGCTTTAATTTGTAGGGTCACGGGTCACATATCATCTCAGTGATGTGATTCTGAGTGGAGGCTTGTTTTTTTTTCGTTTCAGTGACTTCAGGCCATGATAGATTAGCTAATTGTAAATATTATTATAAAGGGGGGGGGGAGTAAAAGGGGACACATGGTCAATTGACCAACACATAAATATACACCTGCAATGAAATAAAGAGCACGAGCAGATACGACAAGTAGAGAGTAGTTTAATGAAAGAGGGCAGTAAGGAGGAAGACGAAGGGGATAAAAAGGGGCAGAGGGGAGTGAACCGCAAAAGCGAAAAGCTCAGGGAAGTGATAGAAAGCGGGAGAGCAGGCAGAGAAGCAGAGGGCAAAGGAGTGAAAACCCATATAGAGATAGCAGGCGCTCTATCTAGAGCAGCGCAATGAAGGGAATAGGAGGGCACAAGGAGGAAGCTGGCCACTCGAACAAGCTTGACCCACAAGACGCCTGGCTTCCCATCACTGAGTCCAGACACGGCAACGCTTACTGCTCTGCTTTCCATGCCCTCAGTTCCGGCATCGGCGTTCAAGCTCTTGTCCTCCCTCTGGCTTTCCCTACTCTCGGCTGGTTAATTACTTCCCTCCTTCTCATCATTCCTTTGTGAATATTCCTTCTCATAATTTGGTTAATGCATGCATGGGGGTGCAGGACTTGGGGAATCACATGCCTCTGCATCGCTTTCTCGTGGCAGCTCTACACCCTTTGGTTGCTGATCCACCTCCACGAATCCCACCCCGCAGGAGCGCGTCACAGCAGATATCTCCGACTAGCCACGGCCGCATTTGGTAATTGCTTTTCTTCTTCTTGCGTGATTACCGCAATATAATAGAATCATAGTGAGAAGAAGGCGGATATGAGTGAGTTAAATGGATGGATGATGATGACAGGAGAGAAGGTAGGGAAAGCAGTGGCATTGTTGCCAATCATGTACCTGTCGGGGGGCACGTGTGTGACGCTGATCATGATCGGAGGAGGCGCCATGAAGGCATTCTTCCAAACAGTGGGAGAGAAGGGGCATGCGCTCACCACCACGGAGTGGTATTTCCTATTTACAGCAATTGCCACTCTGCTTGCTCAGCTTCCCAACCTCAACTCAATGGCGGCGGTTTCCCTCCTCGGAGCCCTCACCGGCGTCGCCTACTGCACCCTCATCTGGGCGGTCTCCGTTGTTCAGGGCAAGCTCCTCCCTCTTCCTCCGTCGCCCCATCAATCACTGCCTGCCAGGGTTTTTGGCGTCTTCAATGCTCTTGGCGTCATTGCTTTCACCTTCAGGGGTCACAACCTTGTGCTCGAAATTCAGGTCATTCACAACCCCACAAACCTCCCCACCTCCTTCTCGCTTAACGATTCTGGAAAAGTTTATTGATCTTGCGTTTATAGGGAACATTGCCTTCGGATACGGACCGACCCTCGCACTTGGCCATGTGGAGAGGTGTTAAGTTTGCGTATCTAATAATCGCCTCCTGTGTGTTGCCCCTGGCCATTGGAGGTTATTGGGCCTATGGAAATTTGGTGACAATGCTTCCTGGCAACGGAGGCATGTTAAGCGCATTACACAAGTACCACGAGCACGACACAACCAAGACGATGCTGGCATGCGCGAGCCTGCTTGTAGTGATAAACAGTGTGAGCTCATTTCAAATATACGCAATGCCGGTGTTCGACAATCTGGAGGTGAGATACACAAGCAGGAAGAAAAGAGCTTGTCCGAGGCGGCTGAGGGCGGCCTTGAGGGTATTCTTCGGATGCCTGGCTTATTTCATTGCCGTGGCACTGCCCTTCTTGCCAAGCCTGGCGGGTCTGCTTGGAGGCTTTGCTCTGCCGGTCACCCTGGCGTATCCCTGCTTCATGTGGTTAAAGATGAAGAAGCCAAGCAAGTACAGCACGAATTGGTGGCTCAGCTGGATGCTCGGCGTCTGCGGCGTGGTTCTCAGCGTTCTGGTCATCGCCGGCGCCATCTGGGGAATAGCCGCACACGGCATCAACACCAACTTCTTTGACCCCCACTGATGATTGATGAATCCTGATGGATAATCAGCTTCTATTACCTGTCCGCTCTCCAGTAACTCATCTCGCCACATATTTCTGTCTAATTTAATTTCATGTCTTCAGAGTTCAGAGCCAGGCCCCTTGAACGTCAAAGAAATAGAGTCACTAATAAATACTATTTCTAATGAATGTAATATTAAAATATTATGCAATTTTCTTCTCTTTTTTTTAATTAAAAAAACAACATTGTTAATCAAATTCATAGCGTAGTATTTAAAATTAAATAAGGTAATGCTCACCCAAGAAATGTAAATATGTTAACCTATAATCACACATTCGGCTCAGAATAACCAACTAGCAATTCGTCATTTTAATATCAAGTTAATTAATTAATAATTATATACAGGAATAGTCATTATGGAATACTAGACTATTGAACAAAAACTATCCATAAAATGATGTTATTTTGTACCCACAACCAAATTTGTGTTTGTGCCTATGAAACAAATTAAAAAAGAGCGAAACAAATAAATCACGACTAGTTTTAAATTACTTATAAATAGCTTTTTAATTATTATTTATGTAACATGAACTAAATATGTTATAAAAATTTTGTCTCATGAAATAATTTTTCAAGGTTATTTTTAAATCTCACAATTTAATATTAGGTAATTATGAGAAATAAAATCCATTAAAACAATCGAGACCTTGTAATATAACTTTTATTATGGAGTTTCTATATTGATTAATTCATCATAAAAAAGATACGTGAATAGAGATTCTCTGACTTTATTTTATATATTAATATAAGATAGATATTTTCATATTACATTTCAACAATTAATAATTATTAATTGAAGCATTATGGTATTAGATTATTATACTTGATAGACTGAGAAGAAAAAAGATTAATTTAATAGCAAATCATATTAAAACATTGGTTATATAATCCCCCTCCATCAAAAAAAGTCTACAATTTATTTGTCGGATAGGCATGATTAAGTTGTGCTGCGAATATCACAACCCTGAACATTAGTTTTTTGCAGAGAAATGGAAGGCCAGCGGCCCCACACGCATTGAACCCAAACGGGAGCAAATGAGAAACGTAAGTAACCACCTTCACTGCCTCCCAAAAAAGTAAATGCCAAACAACAAAACATGAATTCTGACCCCCAAACTTTTGAGAAAAATTTTGACAAAAACAAAGACTAAAATTGTTATTGTTACACCATCTGAAATTTGAGTTAAATAAATATTCTTTTAGTTCTATTAATGAGACATTTCTAACATATTTTACATAGACCAAGAAAAATCTTAAACTACAATAACTCTCTATTAAAATATAACAACTTGTCAACTTTACTTCTATTTAATATATACACTTTTAAAAAAAATAACTATCTATGTTATAATAAATAAAGATAAAATAGTACATTCATGTTAAAAATTTAACGAAATGACTTATAAATAGAACAAAAAAATATTTCTCTCTGTCTTATAAATAGAACCAGATGAGTAAGTGGTTAGATTCTTAATATATTAATAACGGCTGAAAACTAATAAAAAATTCAAAAAAAAGAAGTAAACAAAATTGTAATTAAGATACACCTGGCTGTATGTTTAATTTCGATATGCGTATAGGGGCTATCAGTAATTTTTTGTTATCTCTGTATGTAGCTTTTAATTTTGAAGGAAGGAAACAAAAGGCTTAATAAATGCTAATAACATTTCTGATTAATAAAGTTTATTAAAAACCTCTATTACAATTTTCACAACAAGAAGTTGCGAGATGTGGCATCTTGATATATACTACCTCTAGTCCTTAATATAAGATTATGTTTGACTTTTATTTTAGTCCTAAATATAAGACCTCAATCCATTTTGTCTCTCATATTTATACATTTTTTTTTCCTAAAGTAGCACTTCTAACAATGATAATTCTAATTAATACACTTGATTAGCAAGGATATTTTAGAAAAAACAACACCTATTTAGGACAGATAACTAACTCAACTTATTTTCTTAATATCTTCAAATTAGTCAATGGACTCTTATAATTAAGACCGGAGGTAGTATATCCTTTAGATATTTCTTAAAATATTATTCAAAAATGCACTATAAAGTTATGATATTCAGTACACTTAGTTCGCCAACGATACCTCAGTTATTACTTAAAATAATTTTTCTCCACCAAGCATTTTTTTATTTCTTTCCACTTATTTTCATATTAAATATACAATATATTGATTGTAAAACATAATTTATTTTCCTTCTATGCATTTATTATCTCTTCTATTAATGACTCAGTTATAAAAAAAATTTCATTATTTACTGTACACTTAATTGGAAAAAAATTAAAAAAATAAAATAGATATTCTGTGATTTCACTGGACATTAATTCAAACAACAAATTAAAGGAATTGACTGTCTCTTAGAAATGATCAATATGGGGGGACTATGAAAAGTCAAAAACTCATTTATCATTTAACATTCACATCTTCCAAAATGCCACTTGAATACTTTGAAAATTCCAAGAGAAGGATATTATCTGTAGATTAAACTAAAAAGTCATTCCAACCAAGAAAATAATTTATCTGCTTAGACTTAATCTAAACAGTATTTAATATATTTTACCACGAATATCTTATTTAATATATTTTGTTATAAATTAGTTTAGAGTGAAATCTATAACCAAGAAAAAAAAAGTGTGAAGTCAAAATAGTTGTTCTGATATTTTTGCCTCTCATGCGGATGGTTTGTTAAGGAGTATTTTGTGGTTTCATTTATTTATTCTTATCTTTGCTTGATCATTTCTTTATGTTATGTTTTCTTTTAAAAATCTTAAGAAGATTCTACTTCAATCCTTTTTGTTCATTTTGCGTCCACCTATCTAATAGACAATAGCAAAATTTTGAAAAATGATTCTCTCAGAAAAAATAATTGTTTTTGGAGAAACAACCTGTTGACCAAGAATATCTTTAGAAATAAAAAAAATGGATTTCTTTTAATTCTATGCAATAAAATTAGAGAATATCTATTTCGATTTTTTGAAAAAAAAAGTTTTCCTGAATTATATGATTATGAGACACATTAAAATGGAGTACAAATCCCAAAAATTCAAATAAAAAAAACTGAAAAAATTATAATTATAGGGAGGGGTCAAACATCTGAAAACATCTTATAGCTTACATTGTAAAACTGAAAAGTATTAAGTATCCTGGCGTGCGCCATTCCCCGTTGCTCGCCTTAAAGCGATGATAACAGCACCGCCTCACTGATACCTTCTAAAGCTACCGAGCTCCACCAGCTTGGATCAGAGGCTTCAACCATTCAAATACTAGAAAATGTGAAATTATGCTGCTAATTCGCTCTGTCATGAAATTATTCCTATCAATTTTTAACATTAGAAAACCCATGCATTTCAATTTTAATAGAAAAATAGATCTAATGAATATAAGTATAGACCTGAATTTTGTCTTTTAAAATACATTCAACATTCTAAAATATATTTAGATACATTTAGTATATTAAAGTATTTTTTTGTGCAATTTTATACTTAGTATAATAGAGAAGTTGTTACTAAAGATCAAATGTAGTATTTCGTCTATTAAATTTGTTTTCCTTTATTTGTTATATCAATTGAAATAAATAATATACGTATGATATATTGCAACTAAATTCAATCCCAATCCCAATCACATGTTTATTATTTTAATTATATCTAGCAAAATTATAATTTTATATAATAACTTTTATATTAGATTAAAGTATACATTTGGTCTTTTATTTTTACATAAGATTTTGGTATGATCCTTAGCTTTAAAAAATATATTTTTAGTCTTTTAACTCTAAAATTATTAATCTTAAACAAGAGACATAGTAAATTAAAATTTTATATTTAAAATTAAATTAAATATCAAACTAGTTATTATATTAAATATGAAAGATAGTACTCCCTCCGTTCTTTATTATAAGAGACATTTGATGCTTATGGCATGTTCATATATATAAGAGACACTTAAAAGTTGTCTTTATTTTTTGTTGTTAATATCTTATTTTACCCATATTTATTGTCTCCTACTTATACTCTCTCTCCTTCCCACTTTTCTTTCTTTGAATAATTTACCATTGTTCTCTCTCATGCTCTCTCCTTATTAATGAGGGCTTTTTTGGAAAAAAATTATATTTTTTACACATTGATTGTTCTTAACTAATTTTAACTTTTTTTATTAACATAATTCGATTATTCGTCTCTTATAATAAGAAACAGAGGGAGCAGCTTATTAAGAAACCCCAAGTCTACAGTGGCCCAAAACCAGCGGTAGATATAATTAAAATTAATTGGACAGCTTTGTTTAAAAAACAAAACTGCAGAGCTTTTAAGTTGAACGAAAACGTGTCATGCTTCGATGGAAAATAAAAAGTGCATAATTGGAAGCGAAAATGGGGGGAAGGGAGAGAAATTAATTGATGGAAAGAGAAATTGCTAAATAAAAATTGGTGAGGCCCACAGGGATTATTTCACGGGAAAATAGTAAAAAACCATGGAAAAATTGCACACAGGACTAGTTTTGAAAATAATATTTTCAAAACCCATACTACATGAGTCATTATTTATAATTTTTTTATTTCAACAGTTTTTTTTAACCATTTTTTCTTATTTCTTCAACTATGATGCCATGTATGACTGAATATATGTAAGTTGGCTGCATAGACCATCCGCATTATGATTAAGTGGTGCGCCGGGTTCACGCAAGAATTTCTCGATATATAGATTCGAAACGAGCCTGCATGACTTTTATGCCGCGAGTGACTGACCGAGGCGACACCGGGAGTGAAAGTGAAAAGGATCGGAGAGATGGAGGAAATAGATGCAAGAAGCGGGTTCTGCAAATCCAACTCCGTCTTCTACAGTAAACGGAAGCCCCTGCCGCTTCCTCAAAACTATTCACTGGACGTCACCACTTTCATCTCCTCTCGCGCCCACCATGGCAAGCTTGCTTTCGTCGATGCCGCCACCGGTCGCCACTTCACCTTCCCCCAACTCTGGCGAGCCGTCCATTCCGTCGCCGCCTCCCTCTCTGACTTTGGTATTCGAAAGGGCCATGTTGTCCTCCTCCTTTCCCCCA